TAATCGGTGTCACCATTATAGACTATTCTTCTACTTATCAAAGTTTACTGCAAAACTGTATGCCCTGCTCTGCAGCCTCATACGTCCTGTAGTCTCCTGGTGGAACCAAGGGGCCACGTGGAGTGACTGCCCTATAGCACCCACGTCACACCACCCCCAAATCACAGACAAGGCATTCCTCAGAGGGTCTCACTTCCACCAAGTGAGCAATGCTGGTAGATGTGTGTGTGCTCACATGTGTAAGAGCACTGCCCTGAGTTCACACTCGTAGACACCAGAACAAGCCATCAGGCTTTGTTTCTCCATGTTCAGTTGTGTTTCAAGGGCATCTGCTGCCCTTGGGCCAGCCTCTCTGCAGGTGTGCTTGCTCAGGGACAGTGCAGCAGCGGGAGGGCTGGCCTCTCTCAATTCATCCCCAGCCCAGGTTAATAGCCTAGTGCACAGCTGTCAATCATGGTTACTCTGGGGTTTGGTATCTGCGGGGAATGGGCTCCCTGCCTGGCCTGTGCCATGGGAGCTGCTCTCCGGCTTCACATTATAGCACACCCTGGAGGGTGCTGTTCTCAAATAAAACTAGTGGTTCTCAACCTGGGTACTCTTCAGAATTAACTTAGAGGATCTTAACACATACCAACGTGGAGTAGCCCGTACAAATGCTGATGAGGCTGGGCCTGGGAAGTTCTGGACATCCGCATCTTGCAATCTCCCAGGGAGCTTTAATGGGCTGAACCACGAACAGGGGTTGCAGTTCATATTCCACAAGTGTGTTTAATTTGGAGCCACGAAGAAGCCCAGCTCCAGCCAAAGGCACTCCTAGGAGCAGGCCTGAGGCTCCCGTGGGGACTGGGGGGGAAATTAAGGCCCTTGTTTGGCAGCTGACAGTGGGATAACACTGTCCTTGAACTTAAGCCCTGGAAAGGAACCCAGAGGCTGCCTGATCTAAAGCCCCTTGAGGAGGGTCCTCCAACCTCAGTCTGCGGAAACAAGCTTTTCAGACCACAGGCCGGATGCAAGCTCCTTGGAGGTCAGCCTTCCGCCGTGGGCCTCCCCTCCATCTGCCCACTGCCCCTCTCCTTCCCAAGCAGGTCACTGGAGGCTGAGAACCTGGCTCTTATAAAAACAAACGCCCTCCAGCCTTCACTAGCTAAGAAAAGGGCAGGCCTGGGGCACACACCCAGGGCCCTCCTCTCCTCCCAGCTCCACTCTCCAGCTCCAACTTCCTCCGCAGCTGTCTGACCTTTCCCTCCAACAAGGAGAGAAGGGCGGGTGCCTCCTCACTCCTGAGCTGCAATGCAGCACCCGTGGCGGAAAAGGTGGCTCTAGAACCATCTGAATGCACACCGCAGCTCCGCCCTCTCTGTGTGGGCTAAGATGTGAGCAGGCAAAGAAATGAAGGCTCTTGGGAACAGCCTCATCTGTAAGCAGGGGGTAGAAACTGCCCAGACGTGGTGCTGTGTACATGGAGAACCCAAGGACTGCCTTCTAAGTGCTGGCTGTGACGCTCCCTGCCACCTGCCACCCACCTCTTTCCCTTCCCACCTTTACCTAGGCCATCCCCACCTGGTTCACATTCCTACCTCTTCCCTCCTTCCCTCCAAGGCCCAAGCTGGCCCCCAGTCCCTCCCTGCTCTTCCAGAAACCCTTTGTGGATTATTCCAAATGGCATGCCTAGAGGAGTCTCTGCACTCCCCAGAACTCAGACCTAGAGGAAGACGGGTCGCCCTGGAGGCCCCCATGTTGTGACATGACGACTCGTAATAACCATTGTCTCTGCTGAGAGCTCAGTAAAGCCCATCACCATCCCCTGCCCTTCCCACCGATTTCGTCACTTAACCCAATATTCCTATGTGGTAGGTATTATTTTTTCCTCCATTTTGCAGACAAGAAAATTAAGGTTTTTGTACTTTCCTAAGGTCCCACAGTTGGTGATCTGGGAACCCGTGCTAGGTTCCAAGCATGTGGTTCTGAGGCTTTATGTCCCAGGGGCTGTCTGGGTTCAAGGTCCACCTCTGCCTCGTAATGGACGGCAACCTTAAGCCAATTGGATAACCTCCTTATGCTTCAGCTTCCTTATTTATCAAATAGGAGCAGTGATAGACCAGCCTGCTAGGTTGCTTTGGTGATTGAATAAAACACACACACACACACAGTGACTGGAATAAAGAAAGTCTATATAAAGTATGTGGCCATTAACATGACCCATGCCACCATCTTCATTTTATAAAAGGAGATCTTTTTATAAAAGGTCCACAGCCACAGAGTCGGTGGTCTAGCTGGGCCCTCAGAAAAGTGCCTCCTCTTTCCTGATAGCTCTTCTTTCCTTCTGCTTAACTTAATGTCAGCCCTATCCGGTAAAGCTCTACCCCTTGACTCAGGGAGGGCAAAGAGAGAGATGTGAGATCCTCTTCTCTCCTCTAACAGGCCATGGGAGGGCAAAGCCTTCTTTCTCTCCCTCTCTTTGTCTCTCTCCCTTTCTCCATCCCTCCTTCCCTCCCGCAGAAGAGACCTGTGCCCTCCTCACTCTTGAAGAACCCTTCACACCCTGCCCCCTCTAGGCCTAGCCTGCCCATCCCTATCTTCACCTGCCCGTGAGAGGCGCCGTCTCCTCCCCTGAATCCCCAGTCCACGGGCTCCAGCTCTCCCCACTGACTCCGACCTCTCTGAACTTGACTTCAGGGCTCTCCTGTCTGCCTGCATTCCCTGACCCTGGCCTTGCCCTCACTCCACCCAGGCCAGACACCTAAGATTCCAGCTTCTCCTGTGAGTCCAAGAGTGCAGGAAAGGTGAGAGAGCAGAGCGGAGCCAGGGAGTGGATGAACGAGTGAGCTGGGTGCGGGGGGGCCAGTGAGTGTCCTCCACGGGCTTCAGGTCCCCCACCCAAGTTCAGGTCTGGGAGTGACCTATGTCACTGCTGCTCCACAGGGTCCCTGAGGATGGCCCGATGGGGTCCTGGGGAAGGATTCTTGCCCAGTGGGGACTGGCCACAGCTGTTCCCCTACCTCCGCCTCCAGTGGAAATGGACTTGAAAAGTGCAGACACTCACTCCCTGGGACAGCCAGCCCCCAGGGTGGCTCATCTCCACACCCCAGATGGGGCTGCAAACAGGGGCACTCCGTCCCCGCAGAGGTCAGGCACCTGCCCCCTGGCCTCTTGTTCCTATGACTCTCTTCATCTGATTCACCCACTCTAGGGTCTCAGCTGCAGTCAAATGCCCACCCATCCTGGGTGCCCAGCTCAAAGGTTCTCAGCTTTAGCTTCTCACTTGAACTTGATGGGAGCTTCTGAACCTGACAGAAACTGCGTGAGGTTCTGACTGAAGCTGCAGGATCGTGGTTTGAGCACCTTCTTCTAAAAGCTCTCCTGGCAATCCTGACCTGCAGCCAGGTTTGGAAACCAAGGATCTCGGTTCAATGCCACCTTCCCCAGCAGCCCCTCCCCATCTCATCAGGGAGGACTCACCTCTTTCCCATCCTGAGCACACTCCCCAGCACTAGACAGCCCGTCCCAGAATGGTGACTGTCCCCACATCTGTCTCTGTCTTGCTTCAGCCAGGTCACCGCTATGGGCAAGCCTGTCTTGTCCTCTCTCAGCCCAGGTCTCGATAGATGGGTGTCATCTCCCTGCAGTCCCTGCCCTGGCCCCACCCTCAACCTCTACCCTTACCTCCTGGACCCCTGTGCTGCTCCACCCTGAGACCTGGATGCAGGAACAATGGCTCTGGGCTGGGAGGCAAGACACCTGCAATCCAGACCCCCACATGGGCTCTGAACAAGGCCTGCCCTCAGTAGCCCACTCTCCATGGAAGACTGGGTCGGGACAAGTCTTCATTTCTTTGAGTTTCCTCCAACCACACCCATCTGGAAGAGGGTCCCATCTGAGGTCCCTTCCTGAGTGTCCCTAGTTGGTGGGGCCCAGCATCCACTTTTGCCATCAATCAGGGCTAAGCAGTGTCCGCTGGTCGGTGGGGCAGGCAGGCCCAGCCCGGAGCAGTGCCTTCCCAGCCAGTCTGCATGGAGAAGCAGCTGGCTGTGGAGTTGGGCCCAGTGGGACCGCTACATTTAACTGGGCTAGAGATTAATAAAGTCTTCAAACAGATGGTGCTCAGAAGAGCTGGGCGGATCTGGAGGGGAAAAGCGCATCCTTCTGGTCTGAGCAGACACCCTCACCCTTGGGTAGACCAGCAGCCAGCCCTCCAGCAACCAAGGCAGGAGCGAGGCTGGAAGGGCCGCTGGGATGCCCCAGCCAGCCCCTGAAAGGCCCTGAGACAGAAGGCAGAGGGAGTCGTTGGTCCTGGGATCCCATCTGCAAAGCAGGGGAGTTGGGAGGGGAGGGTGACATGGGACCACTGGGGCTCATCAGGGCTGCATCAGTCCCTGGGGACATGTGAAATGTTGGAAGGCACTTTTTGTTTATCTTTGGGATCAGGGGTGTTATGGACATTTAAGAGGACAAGCTAAGGATGCTAAATGTCTGGCACTATATAGCTCCATCCAGCACAGGGCATGGTACCCCTCCCCAGATGAGGCCACCTCTGCACCAGACAGTCTCTGAGACTGGGGAGCTTGTTGCCTTTCCCCCTGGCTTCTGATGGAATGAGCAGAGAAGACAGGAAATGACCCTATGCTCTGCCCTAAGCTGACCAGGTGCTCTACAGCCCAGATGCCAGCAACAGCTGCGTCCCTGCTGCCACCAGGCCCCTGTGGCCTGCTAATAAGCTTTCTGACAGCCACTGCCCGGCCCAGCACCAGCTCTATCATAGCCTCTAGGTGAGAGAAAGTGGTCACATCCAGCCACCAGAACAGCCCTGAGCCACCCAGGACAGACTGGCTCCAAGCAGGGCAATCCCTGCCGCACTGCTCGGAGCAGATGAAGGACACCATCTCCCAGAGACCTGCACTCTCTGCCACCCCGTCCAAGGTGGACCTGGGGCCAGGAAGCTGGTGCTAAAGGCCAGCCTGCATGTTCTGGGGGCACCGTGCCCTCCCAGCCATCCGGCTCACCTGGGGAGGAATCGTTGAAGCCCAGCAGGTCATTGGCCCTCTGGATCTTCTCCAGGCACAGGGCCTGCTCCTTCTTGAAGATGCAGTCGGAGTGCATGGCGGTGGCCTGCAGGGGACACATGGTATGGGTGGTGGGAGGCCCACCCATGACACCTCCTACCTAATCCCAGGGGCG